TCGGCAAGGGGCCGGGCTGAGGGAGCCACTGAAGCCCCAGGGTCTCAAACAAGAACAGAGGTGACCGCCCTGCGAGGGGCTCCTACCCACCCGGATCTTGGGCTTGCTGAACAGCCCGCCCACTTCAGGCCTGGAGCCAATAGGAACTCAAAATAGACATGATTCACCACGCATGGGCCAATCGGCTCGACGCGCGCTTCCCATCAGCATCTCGCGCGATAACCAGGCGGCTAGGTCTTCTAAAAAAAGCTTCCCTGGCAAGAAAAACTTCTCTCCCCGCCCTTTCAGCTAACACCGGAAGCGAGGCGTGTCTGAGAGATCCCTCCGCGACCCGCGGCTGCCGAGGGAAGGACATGACTCCTACGTTGTAGGGCTCCTGTAAAATAGTGCGCCCTTTTCTTTCATGAGACCTTGAATAAACTCCTCTCCCTCCAAAACTACTTCCCTGGCATACAGACAGGGCTGGCGCCGGTGGGGAGATCACACATATGGGAACGAGTGAGTCGATGGCTAAGGTCACGTGGTCGCAGCGGAAGGATGCGCTCTGTGCTGCGTCCCACTGGCGGAGCCTATAAAGAGCCGGCGGGCGCCGCGCACGGCCATTTCTGTCCCGTCCGCCGGTAGATGTAGAATTGCGATTGAGCGTAGGCCTTCCCTCCTCCCCCCGCAGGGCGCGCGGCCACCATGGCGTATTAGAGGCAGCAGTGCCTGCGGCAGCGTTGGCCTTTGCAGCGGCGGCAGCAGCACCAGGCTCTGCAGCGGCAACCCCTGACGGCTTAGCCATGGCGTGAGTACCGGGGCGGRCCGCGCTGCCGGGCGCCCTGCATGGGCGGGGGCTCTCGGCTTGGCTGGGCGCGGCTTTCTGCCGGGCGCGTCGCCGAGGGGGAAGCGGTTTTATGAGCGCCCGGACGCGCGGTCCTTGTTTTGGCGTTTCCGGGGCGCGGGCGCTCCCGGCCCTCGGCACTCCTGGAATCGCTGGGGTCCCGGCCGCCCCGCRAACGTGGCAGCAGCCAAGATGGCGGCGGGGCCGTGAGTCACGGGGCGGGGCGGTGGCCCTATTTGGAAGTGGGGACGAGTGCCTTCCCCTGGGTGACCGGCTGCGGAATGGCCGAGACTCCTCCGCGTCCATTTTGTGCAACCTGAGCTGGAGGCAGGGAAGGCGGACACAATGGCCCTGGCGCCACGTGCTCCAGACTCGCCACCTGCGTGTGTGATGGGATTCCCAGCCCAGCCCACCTCTAAGGGGTCTTGTCTACTGATTCCCATCCAGGCTTTTCACGGCATCCAGCAGCAGCGTTGCTGTAATCGACAGAGACACCTTCGAATTAAGCACATTCCTCGATTCCAGCAAAGCCCCACAACATGACCGAGATGAGCTTCCTGAGCAGCGAGGTGTTGGCGGGGGACTTGATGTCCCCCTTCGACCAGTCGGGTTTGGGGGCTGAAGAAAGCCTAGGTCTCCTAGATGACTACCTGGAGGTGGCCAAGCACTTCAAACCTCATGGGTTCTCCGGCGACAAGGCTAAGGCGGGCTCCTCCGAGTGGCTGGCTGTGGATGGGTTGGTCGATGCCTCAGACACTGGCAAGGGTGAGTGGGCCACTTGAAGGTGCCCATGTGTGGCCATTCGTGATGGGTCTAGGGTCTGTAATGTAAGTGACTCAACTGGCTCCCGTCATCCTTCACTCTGAATTCTTTTGCAGAGGATGCCTTCTCCGGGACAGATTGGATGTTGGAGAAAATGGATCTGAAGGAGTTTGACTTTGATGCCCTGTTGAGTATAGATGACCTGGAAACCATGCCAGATGAGCTTTTGGCCACGTTATATGATACATGTGATCTCTTTCCCCCTCTAGTCCAGGAGACTAATAAGGAGCCACCCCAGGTAGTGAACCTAATTGGCCATCTCCCAGAAAGTTCAAAAACAGACCAGGTTGCCCCTTTCACGTTCTTTCAACCTCTTTCCCTTTCCCCTGGGGATCTTTCTTCCACTCAAGATCATTCCTTTAGCTTAGAGCTCGGCAGTGAAGTGGATATCTCTGAAGGAGAGAGGAAGCCCGACTCTGCTGCTTATGGTACTATGATCCCTCAGTGTGTCAAGGAGGAAGATGGCCCCTCAGATAATGACAGTGGCATCTGCATGAGCCCAGAGTCCTACCTGGGCTCTCCCCAGCATAGCCCTTCTACCTCTAAGGGCTCTCCTAATGTCAGCCTGCCATCTCCAGGTGGCCCTTGTGGGTCTAACCGCCCCAAACCTTATGACCCTCCTGGGGATAAAATGGTTATAGCAAAAGTAAAAGGTGAGAAGCTGGATAAAAAGTTGAAAAAAATGGAGCAAAACAAGACAGCAGCCACCAGGTACCGCCAGAAGAAGAGGGCAGAACAGGAAGCACTCACTGGTGAGTGTAAAGAGCTAGAAAAGAAGAATGAGGCTCTGAAAGAGAAGGCAGATTCTCTGGCCAAGGAGATCCAATACCTGAAAGATTTGATAGAAGAGGTCCGCAAAGCAAGGGGGAAAAAAAAGGGTCCCTCAGTAGGGTAGTCAGGAGTGCTGTGCTTGTACATAGGTGTCTTGTGCTGAAGCTGTGTTGTAATAAATTATTTTGTAGCTAAAGTAATAGTTCAGTCTTGCTGTGTTTCTTGACTCTGGTAAGGAACCCCTCTTCAAGCAACCCCCCTTACACACACACCCTCTTTGTGTAACCAGAGGATATTTTCACAAGGGATGATCCTGGAGTACTGAGTGTCTTCAACTCCACTGGGCCTGGTTTCCTCAGATCTGGTGGTTTCTATTTGATCCCTAGGGGAGAAGGCTGTTGGGCCAGATGCTTCATTGTGCTTTTACTCAGTTCTGAGACAGCTGGCAGGGTAGAGGGAGGGGCTGCCTGGGTTTCACCTGTTCCCTTGTTTRGCTTTGGGCCAACACCTGTTAATACCAAGATGAGGTCACCCAGTCCTTAAGTGCACAAGAGGATTAGGTTCCACTTGGAAGATTTGAATTCTGCAGTGGCCTCTTTAGTGGCTCCCCGAGGTAAGCCTTTAGGCAGGACAGCTGAGGATTATATTCCCCATATTTGGATTCGTTGGAGGGGAACTGTCTTGGGTAATATAGGCCCTATTGTGGCATGTGGGTACAAGGCCCTGCTCACCTTTTTCCCTGAATGGGAAACTACCTACACAGGTTTTATGTAAAATATAAGGATTTGACTTAAGCCTGCTAGATTTAGGTCACTGACTAGTAGGTGACTCCAGGACACTTAAAGGCAGTCTATGGTTGTGGGGTGGGACTTTAGCTAAAAAGCAATGTGAGGGCCTGGATTCAATCCTCAGCACCACATAAAACTAAAATAGAGATGTGTCCACAAAAAAAAAAAAATATATATATATATATTTTAAAAGACTGATGGTAGCCATGTATCCACAAGGAGATAGCCATCTCATCTTGTGAGTGCCAGGTGGTGACAGGAGGCCTGAAAGTTGAGATGTACAGCAGCTTTGGAAAATGACTCAGCCACCCTGATGGGAGTCATCAGTCACACAGGGGTGTGGGGTGCCCTCATTTGGCATGAAAACTGGTGCTAAGAGGATCAGCACAGCCAAAGCTGGGATGCTGGCTGTGTTTCCTGCAGCTCCCTGACCCAGAGGCACTGGTAAAGCCCAATCTCTTTACCTTTGAGAGGCAGGAAGCATCTGAGTGTATGGTGATGGGTGTGACCTCGTTAGGAAGGGGCCCTGGAGCCTGGTCATCCTTACACTATGATATGAGCTGAGTGCTGAGCCAGCTCCTTGCTAAGCTGCTTAAGACAGTTAACAGCTGTCCAAAGACGCTAGAATGTGGCCCTCCCACCCCCAGCAAAAACCAGCAGGAGGGAAAAGTTGGAAGATCCATCATCACTCCTTTGGAACAGTCCCTGCTTGGGAGGCCCTCAAAGTCCTGGTTGCTACAGTTAGGATTGGTGGCACCCTCTCCTGCCTGCCCTGACCTGGATAGGCAGGCAGTAGGTTGAGCTTCCTAAAGCAGGTAGAGGCCACCTGGAAATATGACCTGACTCCAAACTGCTTTTAGGCAGTTTCCCCTCCTGTGTACCCACTAAAGTGAGCAACTAAAGGCTAGGAAGAGGCCAGAGTGTGTGTATGGCAAACTATTAAAAACCTGCTTTTTAAMATTTTTATTTAAAAAAAGTTGAAGGATACAATGTTTAACTCAGGGGTCTTACACTGCAAGGTAAGCACTGTACCTCTGAGCCACAACCCCATGCCCTGCTTTTTATTTTTTAAATGTGGTGTTAAGGATGGAACCCAGTTTCACACCTGCCCGGCAAGTTCTCTGCCACTGAGCTACAGCTCCAGCCCTCTGCTTTCTTCAGGGGGCCTGCCAACGTGTTGGCAGATTGTCATTCCCACCTCTGACCTACCCAACCTCAAAGGACCCACAGAAACCTTGGGAGTTCTCAGGTTAGGGGAGGGGTGGTTGTTAGAGGCCCCTAGTCCTCCATGGGGCCACTGTGTGCCTCTGCTAAGTTGCACCATTCATTCCACACTACCTATCCCCTACCTGTCCTGTCACTGCCTGCTGGAAAGGGCCCAGTCTGCCCTCCTGTGGTGGTGTGGCTCAAGTACAACCTGCTCAGGCAGATCAGAGTAAGACACTGCTTCTTCCGGACTACTCCCAATGCCTCCCAATGCCGGGAAACTGCCTTACCCTATGTGACACAGGAAGGATCCAGTGGGCTTCATACCAGAGCAGGAAACCTGGGTGCTGTGGGGGAACTGGCAGAAACCACCTACTGGTGCCCATAGCAGAGCCCAGCCTCCTGGGGGTAGCTGAGGCAGCTGCACTTCTGTCCTCCCCAGACTTGCCTTCTTGCCTGGAACAAAGCTCCCAGCAGCTGCAAATGTTATTTTTGCCTCAAAAATAACAGCAGCACACCTCTAGGGAGGAGCTGGGCAAACAGCTCCCTGGATGGCCATCTGCCCTAGGCCTGGACTGGAAGAATTCTGACATGGAGCTCCTAGATCCATGCAGGGGGGAGTTCCAGAGGAGATGGAAGACACCCCATAAAAGATCAGAAGCACATAGCTCAGGTCATGTTTATTAGGGCCCAGAAGCCCATCGAGCAGCCACCTTCATGTTCCTGGAGCGCAATCCCTAAGGGCCCATTACCAACAAACAGCCCAGAGGCCTTACCTGGGCAAAGCAAAAAGAAGTGTTCTTTTCTGGCAGGTGCAAATGGCCCCTCATGACTCTTTCAACAACCAAGCCTGCAAAGGTCAGCTCCAGTTTGAGTATAAATCTGCTCCAAGGCTTCTAGCTCATTAGCTCCATTCCTATCTTCCAGTGCTTCCGGCTATGGGGCTTCCTTGAACCAGGCTGGTCGTGCATCATCTGCTGGCTATGCCTGGCTTGGCTGAGTCCCAAGGCCAGCAGAGGCAGGGAAGTCCTAGGAAGATGGGCCCAAGTGCCTCTCCCATGGGTCCCTCCAGGAAGCCTAGCTGCCAAAGTATTCTTGTTGGAACTTCTGGAAGTCTTCCTCAGTGAACACAGTACCCTCGGCTACCTTCTTCTTCTTAGTCTTGGCCACAGGCCGGTCACAGGCCTTGCGGCCCCGGTTTTGGCGCAGAATCTAGGGAGTGTACAAAGTGAGGGCAAACTGCTTCTATTTTCAGAAAAGCAGACCAAGGCCCACAAGGTCACAGGGGAGTATGGCTCAAGGTAGGGCTGGACCATCCTCTCCCCAACCACTCTGCTGACCTTCATGGGTTAGCCCAACTTCCACCCTGTACTCAGGGCAGAGATACCATGCATTCTGAGGAAAGGCCTCAGCCATCACTCTCCAGGACAAACCTGTTGGGTCACAGACTCCTCTACCGTGCTTCTCTTGCTGGTCATAAACTTCAGGTTTGTTCTGAGATGGTTTTGACACTCTCGCTTCTGGTACTCAGCTGTGGGTGGCAAGCAAGGACCCTCGTTTTAGAATTACTCTCTGGAAGTCTCCTGGGTCCCTGGCCCTGCCAAAGGCCCATCCTGGATAACTGCAACAGTCTGGGCACTTCCTGACCAAATCTGTTTTCCACACAGGTAGGTCCTACTAAACCCTCACCTGTAGGCCCCTGGGGTTCCCAGTTGGTCCTGACTCTTTCAACAAATATGTCCCTAGCACAACTGTGTCAGGCTCTGATTTGGGTGTTGGGCACACAGCAAGAAACAGCAAAAACGCTTGCCCTCATACAACTTATACTGTAGTAAGTGGGAAAAGATGGGAAACCAGGTAAACAATAGTTTTGAGACTGATTCACTTTATAGAGAAAAATAGGAGTTAGAAAAGAGGAATGCCAGGGGTAGAGGGCTGCAATTTCAATATAGGAAGGTCTAAGAAGCAAATTTCACTGAATGACACAAGAACAAAGACCCAAAAGACAAGAGTTGTGGACGTTTGGGGAAGGGCACATGTCTGGGTAGAGGGAGCAACCAGTTCAAACACTGAAAACTCAGGGCTCTTATGGAGAACATCAGGAGACATGGAAGGGTGAGGTAAAGGGGAAACAAGGCTTGAGGATCACTTGAGATCCCCTTGGTGCTGATTAGAATGAGACTACTAGGAGAGTAGTGGGTGGAAGGTAGAGACCAGCAAGGAGGCTCTGGCAATAATCCAGACAAGAGGTGAGGCGTCCTAGACCAACGAGCAGCCACAGAGGTATTTTGTGGGGTGGCTGCCAAGGCTTGCTGTTCCTTATACCCATCAATTATGTGCCCACCCTTGGGCTGGACATCAGGGCCACACACAAGCCCAACGGAAGTCTGGTGTGAGGAACTCCCAGTCCAGCAAGGGAGACAGCAAAAAGGAACCCCAGTGACAGAGTGGTGAAGAAAAGGGCTGAATGGGCAGGAATGGCCTCTTGGGGACTAAGCTCCTGTGGCACAGCACATTTCACTGGTGCTCCAGTCTGTCCCACTTCCCTGCTTCCACATCTTTGCTCCTGCTGTTTCCTCCTTGTCATTTCTAACTCTAGCAAATACATGAACACTTCTTATGCACCAAGCCCTGTGGATTCAAAGACACCCAACAGTGTTTCCCATCCTGCCCACACCTGCTCCTCCCCAAGGCTTTCTATTCTGTTAACAGCAGCACCATTCCTAAGAGTTCTTCTATAAACTGGGATCCCTCTTCACAGTCAAATCACCACTCCAGCCCATGATGCTCCCTCCTCAATACCTTGCAACTGCACAATTCTCTGTTATCTCTGCTGCTATCAGCACTGCATTAAGCACAGCAACTCCCACTTGAATGAAGCTAAAGAGCAGGACTCTGGGGGCTGGGGATGTGGCTCAAGCRGTAACGCTGTTCGCCTGGCATGCGCAGGGCGCTGGGTTCGATCCTCAGCACCACATAAAAATAAAATAAAGATGTTGTGTCCGCTGAGAACTAAAAAATAAATATTGAAAAATTCTCTCTCTCTCTGAATAAAGTCTATCTTTAAAAAAAAAAAAAGCAGGACTCTGGAGACACACTGCCTAGTGTCCATATGTTCCATCTGGTCAGGTATTTCTTTTTGCATCTGTAAAATGGGGGTGATAGCTGTGCCAACATCACCGGGTTGGTATGGGGATCAAACGAGTTACAATTTGCATAGGGCTTAGAACAGCACCTGGAGGTATTCAACTGTTAAGTGCTCCATCTTAATCCTTGTTCACTACATGTTTCAAAGGCCACAAGCTCCTTTCTCACTCAGGACCTCTACACAAGCTATTCTTCCTAGACTAGTCTTTTCCTTTCACTTGGCCACTCTCACTCTCACGCCGCCACCTGCTCTCAGCCTAAAGGAGGCTGACTTGGCCTTTATTCCAAACCCCTCTCAGAGCACCCTCGTCTTTTACATCCCCGCCAGGGCCGCGGTCCAGGAGGGCCCTTACTACGTGTTTCCTCCTCCCGCACGTCCAGGGCCCCGCTGCGCCATATCCAAGGAACGTATCAAGTCCTGCCTCAAGTGCCACCTCCTCCAGGGCGCCGTCCCCAAACCTGGGGCAGCACGTCCAGACCCTCCCGCAACTCACCCAGCGCCGATTTGGGCACCTTTCCCTTGGCTGAGTTTCGCAGTTTCTGGGCCTGGCTCGCCTTCGCCTTCCGAGCCCGCTTCAGCTGAGCTCCGCTCGGCTTGGCCTGGCTTGGCGCGGCCCGGGAGGCTGTAGGGAAGAGAGACTTTGGTGGTGCTGCTGCCATCACGCCGTGGCTGAGTCGGCCCGGGTCATTCCTTACCCCGGGGCTTCTGCATGCGGCTCCCACCGTCCTCCAGCCCGCGCCGGACGCCCCCAGGAAATCCCTCCTCACCCTCGGATTCCGCCAGCAGCTCGAGACCCCTTCGCAGCAACGCGGCCGACATGACTGCGCCTGACCCGGCCCACGCTACTTCCGCGCTGATGGCTTTATTTGTCTCCGCGGAAACCCGCGCTAGAACAGAGGGTTCCGGAGTGGGCGGCGGAAGTCCCCACCTTCCACACGACGCATGCGTTAAAGGTGCACTCGGGCACGGAAGGAGGGCCGGAACTGGGAGCGGGTCAAGGCGAGGAAGGACACATTTGTTGTCCAATCCTAATCCAACAGGCTCCTTGCTAGCCAAACCACGCCTTCTCCCGGAAGTCGCCTGCAGTACTCGAGCTTGGTTGGTCAATTATTCTCCTGGGCTGGCGAGGCGTGGCGCGGGGCCGAGCGTTGCATTCTCTAGTTTTAGGAAAGGACATCGTGAGGCCGCATTTGGTTTCAGGTGCTTCTATCTAAGCAACTTACACCAAGGGAGTTTGTGTCCTCTGTTAAGCCAGACAGTAAAGACCTTTGCAAACATGCGGAAAGTGTATTTTTGTTTTGAAAAAATATACTTTTTCATAAAATATTTGTTACCAATAAGTTTTTTCTTCTGTAAAGTGAATTAATAAACATTTGAAAAGACCCCCGTTTCCCTGTCCAAGGAGAATCACACGAAACACTGGCTGCAAAAAGCAAGAGGTCTGTTTATTGGGACACAGGCGCCTGCGGGTGCCCAGCAGAACCTCAGCCGGAGCTTTGGTGAGCTGGCACACCGGGCTTGGGGATACAGAGATTTTTATAGGGTAAAAAGGCAGTCTTCACGCGGGGGAAGCAATAGGTTTCTTAGTAGTTAATTTTAAACCCAGCATATAGGCTACCTAAAGGGCAAAGTTGTTTTTCACTTTATGTTACTGGAAAAAAACATAAAAGCTACATGTTTGCACTCTGGTCCTCTTGTTCCTGCTTATTCAGGCGTGCCTTGGGACCTAACTAATTATCTGAAAAACACCTCTGGTGCCTGCGTAGGTTTGTGACATGCCTCGGTGGTTTTGCAACTAGGCCTGACGTTGTTGGGCTGGGGTCTTTCACATTTAAGATATTTTCTCAGTTTTAGTTTCTATTGTGTTAAATGTCAGTAGATATTAAGTTTTTAAGAGGGTAAAGGGCTTCTTAGACCCCACACTTTGAGAACGCCTTCCTGTGAGTAAGAGCCTGCTGGTCCAGGGCTCCCCCGGCAGCCCCTGCCCCGCGCTGGCACAGGCGACGCGCAGAACCACTCCGTAAGTGAGTGGCAAACCAAAAGGAACGACTAAATTCACCGAGCAAACATGTTCTGAGGGCCTTCTGTATACGTGGCACATAGTGTGGGGCACTGAGCCTCCTCAGCCAGTCTCCCCGGTAGACCTCATGGTCCAACCTTCAGCTAGCCCCCAGGGAGGCCACCTCAATAACAGCACGTGCATCCAGGGTCAGGGTCCTGCTCTGCACGTCCCCAACCCTGAGGTAGGAACTGCTTTCCCCACTTTATAGAATAGGAAATCGAAGCCAAAGAACCCAGTGAGGTCATACCAGTGGTGCCATGATTGGGCATCGAGTCAGATTGATTTGGACGCTCCTGCACCAGCGAGCGGTCCAGGGGAGCAGCGCTGTGGTTCTGGGTGGGGCCTGTCAAGCCACAGAGACAGGAAAGCCCTTGGAGGATGAGGAGGAGCTGACCGAGTACGGTGATGGAGGATGGGAGACACAGCAGTGGCCCATGGGAGAGGAAGAGATGACCTGAGGGCCCAGTGGTCTCAGGGGCGGAGCTCTTTAATTTTGTCCTAAGGACCCTGGGGGCCCTGGAACCCAGCCGTGTGGTCTGACAGGTGTCTCTTTCCTGCTTCTAAGTAACCAGACTGTTTCCTTGTGTGTACTTGCTGTTTACTGTTTCCCCATCCGCGCCCTCAGCTCCAGGAGGGTGAGAATGGTTTTAGTATCTTATCCCCAGTCCCCGGAGCAGTGCTCCGCATATAGTTAGTGCCTCATAAAGGACAGGATGGAGAAAGGGTGGGTTTGGAATGACAGAGAGCAGCCGGTGGAGATGTCCAGGAGGTAGCGATGTCCAGGAGGTGGGGACATGGGATATGCCCAGGAGCAGAGCTCCGCAGGATGAAGGAACAAGTTGTCTCCTTCAGATGTGGGCCAGTCAGCACGTGGTCCCCAGGTGGGGGATTCTCCGTGTTCCAATGTCCCTGGGGCTGGGTGGATCCCAGCGTGTCCACCGGTCAGCCAGGCGCTCAGCCGGTGGTAGGCAGAGGCGCTGCCGCCGCGTGGCGGGGAAAGGAACTGACGGAGGCGGCGGTGCTGGACGCCATTCCCACCGKCGCACCACTAGGTGGCGCCGCAGGACAGCTTTCGTGGAGTCCGGTGCCCTCTTCCGAGTGTCCTTAGGGGTGTGGGGTCGGGACTCCCCTCTGCCCGGGCCGGCACTGTGTGGTCAGGCTCCCTTTTCTAGGGTGAGTGTGGGCAGGGGACAGCCCCCCGTGGGGCCCGAGTGGGCCACTCCGCAGCCTACCTGTGATGCCTGCTTCCTGCCAGGCTGTTTTGGGTCTGTAAAATGTGGGGCAGAGGGTGGGGAGCTGCCTCCTGCTGGTCTCCCTGTGGGACAGTGGGTCAAGAGGGCTCACGGGCAGGTTCTGGTCCCAGCTGTGTGGCCCTGAGAGAGCTGCTTTACTGCTCTGAGCCTCAGTTTCTACACGGGTCCCTGACAGGCCCTGGCTCTTTCCCTGGGTGCCCCTGGGTACTGCTCAGCTGGTCAGAGACCGCATAGAGGCACCATGGGGTGAGCGGAGTGGTGACCACCCTCCAGTCCCTGGGTCCCTGTTGGACCCAGCTCTGCCTCGGCCCAGGCTCAGGGGAGAAGGGCTCTGGAGGCTCCCGCTCGCGTGAGCGGGTGTGAGGTGTGGGTGCCCGCATGCGTAGGGGGCACAGGGTCTTTTGGAGGCGGGTGCGGGGACACTCGGAGTCCTGACTCCGTCTTTCTCTCAGCTCCTGGTCCTACCTCTGGCTCTCGGGGTCTCTGCCCCAGCCTGCTCTCTGTCCCTGTGTCTCTATGTCCTCTCTCTCTCCTGCCCATTCCCCAGCTCCTGGCTCTGGCCACCTTCAGATCGATCTAGAACCAAATGGAACTCCCAATGTCCTTTTCAGGCTGACGGTGATGGCGTCTCCTGCCCCAGGCCTGTCCCTCCCTCCCTCCCCCAGCTCTGGCCATCAGCAGCTTTGGAAAGCAGTTATGGGAGAGCTCAGGAGGAAGCCCATCTCTGCGCTGATGGGCTTTGGGCCTCTCTGGCCTCTGCCTCCCCTCCAGGCCTCTCAGCCTCCCTGGGCTGCCTCCCTGAGCCAAGACTCTTTCTCAAGGAGCCGCTGGTTCCAAGCTTCTTTTCTCCTGGCCGCCTGTCACCAGGCCATCGCCTCTCCTCAGTTCCCCAGAGCCACGATCCCTTGTGGTAGGGGAGGGGACCAAAGTGGCATGTTGAGCCTGGGGAGGTGGGTAGTGCTGGGGCTGTGTGTCTGCAAACAACCATCTTCCCTCTCTGGGCCTGCTGTCTCCTGGGAAGTAGCCCTTGAGAGGGATCCTCCAGCCGTCCTCCTGGCTGAGGGTGGCAGGGCCCAGACAGAGCCCTGCTCCCTGGGTCTGCAGGGAGGGCTCTGGAGCCAGGCTGCACAAGTTTAGACCCTGGCTCCACCTAGTCACGTGACCTTGGACGAGTCACATAACCTCTGTGTGCCTCAGTTTCCTCATTTGTGAGTTAAATATAATAGTCCCCACCTCACAGTCCCCTTGCACTTGAGGAGGCCGTGCAAAGCCCCTGACGTTCCACTGGACACAGAGCCGGGCTGTAGTGGGCACCCGTGGGACCTGTGCCCGCAACTGTGAGCCAGACCTGCACAAATAGGTGGCGCAGGGTCTCCATGTCCTGGGGTCTGCACCAGGTGGGCTGGAGGCCACAGAGCGAGGCTCAGGGGCCTGGAACCTGAGGACTGTTCAAACAGCCTCCGCCATCCCCAGAGCTGTGTGGCCTCGGGCTGCCCCACCTCTCTGGGCCAGGCCGGGGTGGCTGGGGCTCTCGCAGGGCGGACCAGGACCCAGTAAGGCCTAGGAGTGATGGGGTGCTGTCCAGAGACAGCAGCCGCGGGCCAGCAGCCCCGTGGGGGACCGGGGAGAGGCACTTTGGCTTCTCTTCCGTGGTGTTTAAGAGGCAGGAAGAATCTGCTGGAAATTCTCCGTGGAGACCTGGGGTCAGACTCGGGGATGGGGCGGGGCTCAAATGTGGGTCTTTTGGATGGCCCCAGCCCCCTGGTGGCCAAAGACAGCTCTGTGCCAAATGTGCCCTGGGAGCATGTCCTCCCCCGTCAGGCCACAGGTGCCCCTGGGCTGAAGGGGGGCGGTCCCCAGTCCTGCCAGGCCCCTGGGGCCACTGAAYGGTTATGGGGAGAGAAAGGGTGAGTGGGAAGGCCCCCTGCCCCCCCAGCCCCTGGCCCCCTGTGGCTTGCCAACAGGGGGGAGTCTGAGGGTGGCCTTAGCAGGGTGCTGGAGCCCAGCTCTGGAGATGCGACCTCACCCTGAAGTCCAGAGTAAGTCCCTCTCTGCTCTGGGCCTCAGTGTCCCCATCTGTGCAGTGGGGACAGGCTATCACCTAGGTGGGGTAGGAGCGTTGCATAGAGGTGACGCTTTAGGGCTCGGAAGGGAGGAGGTGGGGGCTGGGCTGGTTCTGGGGCCTCAGAGAGTTCAGGGGGATTCCGGCTCCCAGGGCTCTGGCTATTTTAGCCTTTAAGTCTAATTCTATCTCCATTAAGTTGCCAATTGTCAGGGCTGGGTGGTGGCTCAGCGGTWGGGCRCTCGCCTAGCACGAGTGAGGCCCTGGGTTCCGTCCTCAGCACCACATAAAAAAATAAATAAAATAATATTTAAAAAAATAAATTGCCAATTGTCAACACACACACCTAGAACAGAGGTCCTGTTGTCCCAGTCACCAGGTGGGGGTGGGGAGGGGCGAGGCCCCATCTTCTGACAAAGCAGGCCTTGCCTAGAGGTCCCTTCTCCCCGCCCACAGCTTGGGGGCCTCCTGCTCTAAGGCTGGGTCTTCAGGGGCGGGGACAGGGTTACCCTGCACAAATCCCCTTCCTGGCCTCGTTTCCCCTTCTGTGACTTG